TCCTCCTTCTCCTCGTTCTCTGCCTTTCCCGGAGGTGGCATTTTTCTTCTTCGTTCTTGGCGATCATCAACTAGCTCACTGGACGCGTGATCATCCTTCTCAATGTACGTTTGGATTCTGGATGCCGTTTGCGCTGCCGTTTTTGGCCTTGTCTTGGTTCACTGCCAAACTCACGGATCTCCCACCCACGCCTCTCGCCTCTCTTCCATACCCTCGTCCAGTGGCATCATGGCCCGCTTTTCCGTTTTTGCTCTGGCCCTCTTGGCCTTGGTCGGCAGTACGTACCTGCCCTCTCTTCATGACGCTTGCCACAATGTTTGCATGCGTTGCATTTGATGGTTGATTTAACCTCATACTCCTCCCGACTTTCCCCTTCCCTTTTTGTAGCTTCGGCCGCGTGCACCACAAGTGACTACACAAGCGCGTACACGGCCATTGCTGTGAGTCACCCTACTCTGGACCCTCCCCGCCCCCTTCCCAGCTTCCAGCTTCCCGTCCCGTCGTGCTTGCACTTGACCAAGTGTTTGTGCCTCACCCACGCCCTTTCCCTGCACACTGCTAGAACTGCATCACCCCCTTGAGCTCTGACCTCCAAGTCTGCTACAACACCAACGACTACTCTAACATTGGCGTACGCCCCCCTTTTTTTTTTTTTTTTTTTTTTTTTCTAGCTTGGGGGGAGGAAGGCTGCCGCAAATGACTTTCCACAAAGGCTTCTGCCTTCGCCGACTCTCACCATTCTTGCTTGATGTCGCTTGATGTGCACAGGACTGCATTTGCTCATCGCTCCAATCCTACACGAGCGTAAGTTAAACAACTCTTGCTGCTCTTGCTGTTTGAACTCGACCACAGCGCCCTGCACTCATGTTTTTCGTTCCTCAACCTGAATCTACACATAGTGCTTGATTACCGCCTTGAACAACCACCCTTGCACCGACGCAACCATGACCACCTACATCCGAAACTTCCTCAGCGCCTACACCAGCTACGCCTGTCAGCTTCTTGTCCGCTTCAACATTGTGTTCACGATCAGCGTTCCCGCTGGTGAGGCTTGCATCCGAGTTTTCTTTTTCGCAAACCTCGCCTCCCCATACCCCTTGCACCAGAACAAGATCTAGAACGCAAGCACTCACTTGCTTCCTCCAAACACCCTAGACTTTGCTTCCTTCTCTGAGCCTCAGGCCAAGGCTTTTGCCATCGCCGTGCTTCAGGCCGGTGGCGTTACCGACGTCGACGCCAATGCTCTGGTCACCTCGGTTCGTCATGCTTTGTGCTCAATTCCGCGAACTTGACGCTTGCTGCGCTTGCTGTGTGCTGGTTTCACTTGCTCATGGTTTTTATGATCGTTTCCTTTGCTTAACTTGTGTAGTGGCGTTTGATGACTAGCGCACGCCGCGCCAACCCTCAAGTGCAGTTTACCATGGAATTCGAGGGAGGCGTGCCCCCCGCTGGTGGCAGCATGGAGAAGTCCTATGACAACGTTCAGTACACCGATGAAAACGGTGACACCGCGTCCGACAGTGTTGTTGCCGATGACGTTGAGATGTCTGCTTCCGAGGTCGGTACCACCAAGTCCCCCGGCTCGGCCTGCGGTGTCCAGACCGGCCTTGCCGCCCTCGGTGCCGTCGCCGCCGCCAACCTTCTCTAAGTGCAAGTGGATGCCGCCGCACCCTGCATTTCAATCCCTTGTCATGGGCTCTTGCTTGACTCGGCCCCTTTTCGTTTTACCACATACCACCGAGTTCTCCAAGTCCCAATTGCCATCCTGTGCACTCATGTCCTTCGGATAGCTCAAACAGTTCTCTGTCCAACACACAAGCACACACACACACACACACACACACACACACACACACACACACACACACTGATATCTGTCTTTACTTTTGCTTCAAAGTCAATTTCAGTTGCAGGTGGGCACGTTAGCGGAAAGTGAAAAAAATTCACTGGACAGCGGATGAAGCACATAAAGACAACCCCCACGGGGCTTTGTGTGTATCGCTTACAAGTGAGCTTCGTCCACTTGATTGTGCAAGTCCAGTACTGGGGCAGCCCATCGTGATGTTGGCATTGCGTCGGAGTTGCTTGTTGAGATGGTCAGGTATGCCGAGGATTCCCTCGAGTGTGTCGAAGATATAGAGGGGCGCGTGGGCGGTGCTCCTGGGTGTGACATGGCCATGTGTTGCAAGGGACGTGCAGGTTGCGACATGGAGGAATGGCGCTGGTATTCGGGCTGCGACATGGAGGGATGGCGCTGGTACTCGGGCTGCGACATGGAGGGATGGCGCTGGTATTCGGGTTGCGACAGGGAGGGATGACGCTGGTACTCGGGCTGCGACAGGGAAGCGTGCCGATTCGCTCGTGCAGGTTGCGACATGGAGGGATGGCGCTGGTACTGCTCGGGGACCGCCTGCCCTAGGTTGGAAGACAGCGACAAGTGGCGCGGAGGCTCGACATCTGAGCCCGCAAAAGTCGGATTCGACGCAAACACTCCGTCTCCGGATGTTTGGCTCCTCTGAAATGACATGGGTGGGTCAACAGATCGCTCAGCATACAGACGCAGGGGCAAGGCAAACAAAGGGAGGGCAGGGCAGCATACCTGCAACTCGCTCAACATGTGGACCAACTGAGCAAATGTAGGCCGTTGGGCTGGCTCACTTCGCCAGCACATGCCCATGATGGCATATCTGCAGCCAGTCCGTTTGCATGCAACGAGAGTTAGTTGCGAGGCACGATGTGAGATTGTCAAGTAGACGCATCACTGCAGCCAAAATGCAAAATCCCGTCTGTACGTACAATTCAGGAAATCGCGTTGGCGGCTCGGGCGGCAGAACACCCCTCGTTACCGCCATGGGTACTTGCATGTCGCTCAAGTGACCGTAAGGCACGCTTCCGTACGTGCATGCTTCGTAGAGCAGAATTCCAAATGACCTGGCATGCCAAGCAACAGCGAAGCGCAATGCGGCTGGCTCAGAGACATGTGCATCGTCCTCCCCATGTAGCATGACGATTTAACGACCTTACCACACATCACTTTGAGACGAGAACCGATGCTTGACCATGGCTTCTGGCGCCATCCATCGGATAGCTGTTGCTTGCTGCGATTCCTGGCGATAGTACTCCTGGTCACTTCCAAGTAGCCGACTCAATCCAACATCAGCAAGCTTAAACTGCACGCATTTGAACAGCAGTGGTTGGCATGAGGGCAAATAAACATGTTTCGAACGTTATGACCGCTATATTGACATCCCCATCAACCAAATCAAGTCCTTAGCGCACCGTGGTCATGCTAAAGGCCAGCACGTTGCGCGCTGCCACGTCGCGATGAATCACCCTAATGGCAACGACCCGTCACATCTTGCATGTTGCACCTTCTTCAAAAAACAAAACAAACAAACAACAAACAAACAAACCAGACACAAAAATCAGCATTGGGCTTGGTTACGTACTTCATCGACTCTAAAAATTGAAGCGCGCCGGCAATTTGTACTGCGATGCACAATACGTCAGCTCGCGAAATGTGACCCGGCGCCAGTAGTTGGTGTGGTGGGCGCCGCTCTCGCAACAGACTGCAAGGGTGCACGGCAATGGAAATGCTTTTATGAGCCCATGGCCAACGCGTGGCGCAGGATAGCTGATCGTCATAGGACCACGTACGCAGCCAGCTCGCCCAACTTGGCGTACTCGAGCACCATGGCCGTCTGTCCCTCATAGGTGCTAGCACCCAAAAGTTTGACAATGTGCGGATGCTTGAGACTGCTCAACAGTCGAATCTCGGCAGCAAACCTATTGGTCATGCCGCCCCAGTTGCAGCCTGGTCAGCGAGCATGCATCAGATGAAGTCGCCATCAGACGCGGCCCGATCGACCCACCTCGTTTTGTCAGATTCAGTCGCGCTCTCGCCAAGCCGCTTGACGGCCACCGTACTACATGCAGGTAATAGGGATAATGTGAGGTGAGCGGTCCATTTCTGGGGCACCGTGCTCTTGCAGACGCAGATGCCTCAGCTCACATTCGATTGCCATTGTCTGCGCCAGAACTAAGAGTTCCCCGGTACACGCTGCCATAGTTGCCGCTTCCCAGAAGGTGATCGCAACGCAGATCAGACCTGAGCAGAGCAAAGTGTAGATGTCAGCACCATTTCTCTTAAGATCAAGATCGGCGTGCATCATGGCTCAGCACATCACTGCCAGAAGCGAAAGCACGAGTGCAGCGTACCCATCCAAGATTTCGGGTTCGGTACCGGTGATGTCAACAACGCTCGACAGCAAAGTCTGAGCACGCTGCAGCTCACTGGCAAGATCCATGCGCTGTCGCTCAACTTCTGATAGTTGGTAGGCGATCCGTGCGCGCTTGCGGCGCACATGTCGCCTGCAGCAGTGAAAGGTGACATGGGGCACTTGTGAGCAGTCTACCGACTCACCAACACTTGCAACCCTCGAACACAGTCGCAGGCATACAAAACGCAAGCAAAATATGGGAAGATGGGTCCATGGGGTGTTGGACACGTACAGCTGCAGTGGAAGCAGTACGGCAGCCACCAGTACCACAACTCCGGCGCCACAGCCAATTGCAATGATCACCATTGAACTTGATGAAGCTTCCGAGGTCACGTCATCGTCGTCGCTGTCGCCCCCGGGATGAACAGGCGATGCGACTACAGGCGAGTACAAGCATCGCGGGTAAGTCGTTGTCCCGAGCTATCTCAGACAAGTGTAAGGGCGGAGAGGTGGGGCGACAAGGCTGCCTACCACAAGCATATGCATCGAAAGAGTTAATGATCAAACCCTCCAAGGCCGAGTACCAGTACCCATCAACTCCATCGGTAGAGGAAGGAATGCACAGCAGCACATCCAAGACTGTGCCGTCGGGGCAAGAGAGCTGGCAATACGGTTGGTCTTGCGCCTCTAGACGGGCCGCGCTCACGACGTCGCCATTCTCAGCGAGTGATGTAAACTCATTGGTCAAAGTTCGCCCGAGTCGTTGGTAAGCACAGGTCCATGCAATGTTGGCCTGGGCGAGCCGCGTCGCGTTGACAGCGGGGCACGTAGCATTGGGGTACCGAGGACACTGCTGTTCAATATCCGACACCCAAGTCCCTTCATGATTGCAGTACACATCCACGAGGGTGACGCTTGGATCCAGCTCACAGGTCATGGGGCAATAGGTGCCCCAGAGCAGATCCTCGTCGAGTGTACTCGCGTACTCTGGATACTGCAGCAGCAGGCCCTCGAGTCGTGCATTGAAACATTTCTCTCGATCAATGTGTGCCACTCCAAGGCTGTTCTGGTCGATGCTGGCATTGCATTGCGCCTCACAAAAAGAGCCGTCCCCCACGTAGCCTGGAGCACATGATGGAATGTGGGGAAGGTGGCCATCAGTAAATGTTATGGTCGCCTGTTCTCCCGGCTGTCCCACAATGCTATACACTTCCAATTGCAGATCCTTGAAGGCACCCCGCTCAATCGTGCGAATTTCGTCTTCAACCCATTGATTGCTGATGTTTAGCTGAACCAGCTTCAAGCCTGTACATTGTCCAGCGCACCAGCAAGAGGCGAGGGCGCGGATCAGGCCATTCACATCCGGCAATGTGACCAAATGCAAATTACAAGGATGTGCGCGTGTATGTACAAAATGGGATTGGCGTTGAATCACCGTTCGCACTCACCCCAAAAGTGTTCGCGAAATAAGTGAACAATGTTGCTGTTCTTCAAGACCAGATACTGCAGATTGGTATTGCGCGCAAAGAGGTTGACACGCTGTTCCCACAGGCATGCCATTCAAGAATGAGACTGACGCCTAGCAATGACAGCTGATAACGGCAAAATCACAAGATACAGGCGCACGAGCGAGAAAAAAAAAAGAAAAAGTGGTTGCCAGATGAAAGCCGCAGGCAAGCTCCTTCAACAACCTGAGCCCAAGTGGTTCCGAAGAGCGGCGCTTTGGCGATGACCAGACTGGTCAGTTGGGTCATTGTGGCAAAAGTGTAATCACTCAGCTCCAGTTGCCGGCCTTGAATCTCCAAGGATAAGAGGGCTGTTATTCCAAAGTACATCAAAGCGTGAGGTTACATCCTGAGGATCGCACCAAACTCGGTTTGACAACGTACTGCGAGCACAGTCAAGAAGCGCATGGGTGCCTCTAAGGTCCCACGACGTGACTTCGTGATTGCGATCATCATCGAGGACCACACGAGACATGTTCGTGTGCGCGCACAAATTGGCCTGGGAATCGTCCATCAATAGGTAAGACAGGGGCGAGGTGCGGGTGAAGGCAGTGCAAGTGCACACGGGTTACCGGAAGGGTGGTGCTGCGGTGGTTTGTTAGTTCAATGGAAACGAGTTGGGAGTGGGCCAATGGCCCAGTGCTGGGGAATATGGCGTTGATACCACCAATAAAGTTGATGTGGATGGCCTCTGTGGATGGCAGACCAGCACCGGCACACGGGCGGTGAGGGTGTTGTCGCGGTGCGTGTACTTGTGGAAGACGACCACACCTGGGGGAATGTTAGGCCACAGGGTCCAGTCCGCGTACGCGCATTCAAATGCTTGCCCATTCAAGTTGACGGGCAAAGGTGCGCTAAGCGTGCAAAGCTAAGTCACATGCAAGTTGCAAAGGGGTCAATAAGGTCGGCACTCAGCCAATTGGACACTGGTCTCGTATCTCACGACTGTTGGATCGTACCGAATCGAGGCTAGGCCGATTGGGTTCACATTCCATGGGCACCGTCCAGCTCCCCTCGGCATCACACTCTATGTACTGGCGACCAAGCTACAGCGTCGACAATGGATATTTTGAGCCGATAGTGCGGTGTTAGGCTTCGTGCTCAACTCTGTGAGAGACGGCAGCAGTGGGCTCTGTTGGTCAAGCTACGTACCATTGTGGCATCAGGGTTCCGACAGGCTAGATAAACTCGGCTCGACGGCAACCAGCCACTGCCATCGGGTGCAAAACTCTCTGTGTGTCAGGTGTGTTGTGAGGAGGCGAGAGTTGGGCACGAGTGGTGGAATAACCACCCACCAGCGCCAGCGATTCGACCGGTCCAGTTCTTCATCCAGAGCGCACAGGCGTACCATTGCGAACAATAACATGTTCCAAAAGGTCTGGCAGTGGCTCGCACAGTGGCTCGCAGTAGTGGGGCCCCTCTGAATACATACAACGCCACACGTTAGTCGCATTTTGCGAGAACGGGACCACTCAAGAAGACTTGGCGGAGAAAGTTGCCATGCAGAGGAGAGCGACACGCACGGAAGTAACCGAGCGCACAAGTGCATTCTACGAGGCCGCCGGTTTGTTGGCAAAAGCTCAGGTTGACGGGGATGCTACCGAGGCCAGCGTCGGGTCCATCTGTCGAGCCGGAGGGAAGCAGGTGACCCAGAAAGTCGTACGGGACGCGCTTGATCGAGTTGATCTGCAGACAAATGTTCAGGGGCACGTGTATGAAAGAACGGGGGAGGGCAACTGGACAAGCAAGCCGGGCAGAGACTATGCTGGATCTTGACCCGAGAGGGCGTACCACATAGTTGAGCTGTATCAATCGTGGTGTGTGAGACGGAAGCGCGGGCAAGCTCTGTCAGTTGCGGTGCCATGTTCCCGTCACAAAGCACCATGAGCATGTACGATTGATACGCACGGCTGTCAAACACACCAAAGCTAGCGCCAGCGCTTCTCCATCGAGTCTTTTTCTTTTTAAACTGTACACAGGGGCAAAGGCGGGAAGAGGCATACCGTCAGTTCGTTTGAATTGAAGTAGAGCTTTGTCGCATCACCCGAGTCGTCGTAGAATCCTGGCGCCAGAATTGCGTCTCGGAAATTACGATTGCCACCGAGATTCAGTTCGTCGATCCGTGAAGCCTACGGAAGAGGGGGTCGGGTTCGTGTTCACGTGGATGAAAACCAGCTAACATCACGCGATGGAGCACAAGGGGGATATGCAGGGACCAACGCAAGACGGGTGGCACAAGAAGTCATCGCTCCACTCACAGGGTGAGGCAGGTAGTAGGGGAGCTCAGGCAGGCTTTGAAAGCGTCGGATGGTGAGAAGGCGGAGCTGTGAATTGAGTTGGAACATGGTTGGCCGCAAAAAGTTCAAGTCGCCGATCGTTTTGACACCTCCCACCAGCTAAGGATTTTGTGAATGTGAGTGCGGGTGCGGAAGCGGGTGCGAGTGCGTGAGACCGATCAGATTGCGGATCGGAACAACGCATCTGGGGCTTTGGGCAATGATGCCAATTCGTCCGGACCAGCAAACGGGGGAGCACGGGGCAGGAGGGCGGAGGAGCTGACCTCGACGTAGCCAAGGGTGGGCAGGCAGTCATAGAGGTGGTGTGGCAAGTGTGAAACACTCAGATCTTGAAGATCGACATTGTAAATGCGAGAAAGTGGACAGAGGATGCCGGCTGGCAGATACGTCAGCTCTGGCGCGTACCAGTCCAGAATCTGAGAGGCGAGCGACAGGGGGTGTGGTGACACAGTGTCGGTGTATGGCGGCGTCGGTGAAGAGGTTGCTTGTCCCGAGCTGGGATGAAGAGCGAGGCGGCGTACATGCAAGTTGCTTAGGCCTTTGAAGGAGAAGCGGTCCACTTGAACCGTTTTTGCTCCGTGAATTTGAAGTGAGGTCAGCCGCAGGGGCGAGCCATCGAGGGAGCGAAAGGCCTCTTCAGGCAAGGCGATTGTGCCATCTTGGATCAATCTGAAGGAGTAAAGCAGAGGGGGAGCAGAGAGACGGCCGGGAAGCGAGAGAGGATAAGGGGCGATCAAGTGGGGAGGGGGATCCACGGGGCGCTGAGGAGCAAACCAAGCGCTCCGTTGATTCAAGAAGCAATCCAGTCCTGGATCCGAAGCACGTACACGGACGAGACGGACGCTGCGAGGAGAAGAGGGGCGTCGCTCAGATCGACTCGAGTGCAAGTGATGCTCAGATCAGAGCACGTGCAAACACTGCACAGGTTGGTGGCGGCCCATCCATGCCCCAATACCACCCAAAGTACCACCCCCAATAACCACCTCAAGCGCATCACGCCACGTGCCCCGGGCCGCCGTGGCCAACCCCTCGACACCCGCATCGCTCCGACAGGAGGCACCTTTCGAAAATGAAAGATGTGTGTGTGTGTGTGTGACAGAGGAGAGAGAGAGTGAGAGAGAGAGAGAGTACAGTTTGAGAGAGAGAGAGAGGAGAGAGAGAGTTTGAGAGAGAGAGAGAGAAGAGAGTTTGAGAGAGAGTTTGAGAGAGAGCTTGAGAGAGAGCTTGAGAGAGAGAGAGCGGTTGAGGAAGAAGAAGATGTGTGTCGCATGAAATGTCACACACATCAATAAAACTTGACACAACCTGACACAAACATACACGAGAGAGAGATTTGGAGAGAGAGATGAGAGAGAGAGAGATGAGAGAAAAGAGAGATGAATCCAACTGCGCAGTTTCACAGCAACAACAACAACAACAACAACAGCAACAACAACAACAACAGCAACAGCAACAACAACAGCAACAGCAACAGCAGCAGCCAACAGAGCCCAGCAACTTACGTGAGCAGCGTGGAGGCTGTTTGATGGGCAAGGGTGCGGTGGTCAGCGCGGTTGCTTGATTGTGCTGGGCGAGCTTGGGAGGGGGCAGCATGGGCCGGAGCTACCGGCGGTCGGTCCTTGTTTGAGTAGAGCCAGACCATTTGACAGGTCATGATGGCGGGCTCGGCCCTGGAATGGGCTGGGTGCATGATATGGTGTCTTTGGACCGGTCTTTGCTGTGTGGCCGACCTGGGCCTGATGAAGACCCAGCCTTTGCCATGGTTGCGCTGGAGTCCGATGGCCCCGGGGGCATTGCAGATGGACGGTCTGCCACGCCGCGCCACGGATCAAGCAGTGTGGCGGGCAGCGGTGACCATTGGTCGACGCCTTGGGCTGGAAATCTTACTCTTTCACGCCCTCGTCTGGGATCGGCCCTTTTTGACCTTTTTGCAAATTTGCCTACACGGCCTCGCCTTCTCCTGCACGCTCTTGAGCGTGCTGGCCCTACCTACTCTGCTACGGCCACGCAGTGGCCTCTCTGCCTTGGACAGACGCCTCCTACAGAGCACCTTTTTCGCTGCTCTCGCTCACTGGGCTCTCTTTGGGGCGCTGGCAAGCTTGGGTCTCAGTCTCCGCCTCACACAGGGTGCGGCTTTTTTGATGATGCGCGCTGTGCTGATTCGCTCCCCAGTCCTGGATCGTCTCTGTCGGATACTACTTCGCCCGCATAGCACCCGGCCTTTCAGCGGGGACATGCGTGCCATCGCGCACGCCACGCCGACGACCGACATTGTTCGCATCACCATGGTCATTTTTCTTTTGGATCGGGCCGAACCCGATCTGAGCTTGCGGCTGGCCTGCTATGGGCAGCCCTTTGTGATCATGGCCGCTCGCGCCCTCCTCCTTCGCAATCAGGAGCACTCACCCTGGTACATTTTGCGACAAGCCCTGGTCTATCCACTTCTCGCCACCTATCTTCTTCCGGTCATGCACGCAGTCAACCTGGACACGCCCATCCAAGTCGTTGCCGCCACTCTGCTCCAGCACGAGTTTTTGGCACAAAAAGTCATTGAGGTGCTGGATGACAATCGCCTTGACTTTCAGCAATTCGTCTTGGAGATGGCCGAGCTGGTGGCCGACCATGCCGTGAGGGTGTGGCATGATATTCAGGGCACCCTGACCTTGGTGCTCACCTCGGCGGGCCGCCACTATTGGCAAGCACGCTATCGCGAGTACATGCATGGTGATGCCCTGACCTATGATCGTCAGCCCTATTTTGACGTCAGCCGCCATGGCGAGTGCTGCGTATGCTCCGACCGCCGTGTCGACGTCGTCGTCCTGCCCTGTCAACACGTCTGTGCCTGCAGCCTATGTTTGCACCATCTCAATGTCCGACATCAAGGGCCAGAGCCCGCGGGCTGCCCTTACTGTCGTCAGCCCATTGATCAGCTCGCCCCGCTCCGCGCCCAAGTCCCGCAAGCGTAGCAAACATGGCCCCGTCGTGCCGCTGAGCGGCCTGCATTGGCGTGAGCCTTTTCTGAATACAGTTCTTGTATCATCGTTGAGAGAATTCTTTTTTGTTTGCCATGTGAGTTGTTGATCGGAATAATCTTGATCAATGGGGTCCTCGATGCGTCGAACATTTCGTCAAGAATCGAATGTGGATTGTTCAAATGTACTTAGTCAAGCCACTTTATAACTCGGGCCACGCATGGCAACCAATGCTTGCTGCTCGTGTGACGGACCCGCGCGGCGGGTCTCACCAAACCATGCCAGGACACTGTCCATCGGTGGTCCATGTCCAAACCCAAATCCTCAGGCGCGAAATTCAAGTGGAAAGACACGCTGCAACGCCGTCAGCAAGAATGCGTGAAAAAAGGCGCCTCCAATGGTGCCTAAAGGTTCAGCAGCACGATAGCCAAGCAGATGGGTATTTAGTCAGAAGAGGATTTCGTCTGAACAACATTCAGATCAAGACTGCACGCTGCACGCTGCGCGCCTTTGCATGAAAAGGGGAAAAGTTCGAGCGTCAAGGACAAACCGGGGATGATCGGGTATAGGGGTGCAAACATGACAGGTAGTGGCACCGTCTCATTCTGGCAAAAAGAAAGAAAGAGACGACAGAGTCAAAAAAAGAAACACAAAGCAATGACGTAAGCGTGAGTCGAACGGGAAAAAGCAGTTTAATGATGGCCGGTGCCAATTGAATGTGGCAAGATTTGATCATACCCAGAGACACACGGTTGCCAGAACGTGGGCCAATATCTGTCCACCCGCATGGTGCATCCTGTGAGAGGTGGTTGGAGCGCAACAAAGGTTGCATGGCTTCCTCACGCCTGAGTTGAGAAACGTACCAAGACGCCGCGCGAGAGGAGCATTCGTTGCCCGTGGTAGTAGAGATATTCTGTAAAGTCGCTTTCTGCACACGGGCATGCGCGATGGTGGGCAACTGTGTGAGCCGCGTCAACACCTGACGACCCCAAGACCCACGCCAGCAGCCAGTGTCCCGTACCCAATTTACTGCATTCGTCCACCATCTTATTGACCTGTCGGTCCATGCGAAAGTAGCGTGCAAACTCGTCCTGCATCGATGCAGGGGACAAGGTGTCCGCAAGCTGCGATGAGCAAGTGCGTCACCCCCGGGTCAGCAGCAATTGGCGCGTGCCGACAAACCTGGGCACTAATTTGACGCATTTCTCCCCGCAGGCTCGCAATCTTGGCTTGCAGGTCGGCATAGCGATGGTAGTTTTTACTCTTGCGAGCGAGACGCAGCTAGTCGAGAGGGCAAAACACGGTTAGCTGATCAGAGAACGGCAGTGTAGCGGCCGCATCGACGGGGGGGGGGGGGGGGGGGGGGGGGGGGCCAAC